GGGAGGGGGCCGGGCGCTGCCCCCCTACAGTCCCCCTTCGACTGGCGCTGACAGGTGTCTCAGTGCTTGTGGGCCCCTAAGGGGCGTCTGGGCCCCCCCCCCGAGAGAGTATATGGAGGTCCACGAATGTGCGTGGGTATGTAACAGTCGGGAAGTTCAAGTGGCTGAACACGGTCACGGCTCAAGTGCGCTGTTTCTTCCATATGTGGTGTTGAGCAGTTGAGGTTGTTGCCCAGAATTTGCTCTTATTTATTAAACAAAACAAAAAAAAACCACCCACACCACAAAACAACACAAAAGCAAAGAAAGAAATAAAACCAAGCCCAAACTAAAACTGAAAAAAAAAAAAAAGCACAGAAGGCTCAAAGGTGCAAGTTCTGTGAGCATGACCGTTCACGGGCAGATGCAGTCTTACAGCAGGAGGGGCTGACAGCTGTTCAGGAGAAGAGTAAAAGCAGTTTTAGAGAGATGACCCACATAAGTGAAGCCATATGGATGATTGGGGGGGGGGGGATAAGTTGGATCCTGAAATTAGTTGTGGGTTTTTTTATCTTGAAAACTGTTCGTATGGAACAGCGTGCAATCTTTATTGTATTTCCTGTATTTAGTATTTTTGAAACCTCAATTTAAAGATAATTTTAGCAAGTACTTACTTAGAATAACTGATTATTCTTTATGCTGTCGCTAGATTGTCAGAACGGAACTGTATAGAAATTGTCACTAAACTGATTGCAGAAAAGCAGTTGGAAGTAGTGCACACACTTGATGGAAAAGAGTATGTCACTCCAGCACAGATTAGTAGGGAGATCCGGGATGAGCCAAAGGTGCAAGTTCTGTGAGCATGACCGTTCACGGGCAGATGCAGTCTTACAGCAGGAGGGGCTGACAGCTGTTCAGGAGAAGAGTAAAAGTAGTTTTAGAGAGATGACCCACATAAGTGAAGCCATATGATGATTGGGGGGGGGTGGTAAGTTGGATCCTGAAATTAGTTGTGGGTTTTTTTATCTTGAAAACTGTTCGTATGGAACAGTGTGCAATCTTTATTGTATTTCCTGTATTTAGTATTTTTGAAACCTCAATTTAAAGATAATTTTAGCAAGTACTTACTTAGAATAACTGATTATTCTTTATGCTGTCGCTAGATTGTCAGAACGGAACTGTATAGAAATTGTCACTAAACTGATTGCAGAAAAGCAGTTGGAAGTAGTGCACACACTTGATGGAAAAGAGTATGTCACTCCAGCACAGATTAGTAGGGAGATCCGGGATGAGCTTCATGTTTGTGGTGGTAAGTGTGGCATTTGCTTTCTTCCTCTGGATTTGGAAGTTAATTTTGCAGACTACAGAAAGAATTTGAAAGTTTTCTTCAGCACCCTTAATCTTGCATTAAAAAAGTGAGCTTGCTTCCTATTACTTCATGTACACATGAATTCACCTACTGTTATTTTATTTTCACTTCAAGTGTGTATTAAGCTTTTAGGTAAGCATATCAAGATATGTTACTTGGTTCATTTTCACACATGCAGAATTTCTGGGGTAGAAGTGGTCTAAGAATGCTTTTGAAAGAAATTTGGCACTTTAGTGTGGTTAAGTATCTGGCCCAGATGTTTAGCCTTGACTTAGAATTTCTAAATAATTCTCCTTTCACATCATTAGTGATAATAATATTTTTAAATTGTTATTGGCACGTCTTTTATTTTATCAGTGTAAAGAGCCACCTGCTTTGTAATATCTGACTTAGATGTGAAGGGAAGCAAATACGCTTGTTGGTGCTTTTTGTCAATGGTTTTAATGAGAAGACATTATATTGTACTTTTAGTTACATTTAAGGATGAATTTCAGAGCATCGTATGTTTGGAAAATTAACTTCCTTATATGTTCATACAGATGAGTCATTTTCTTACAATTACCACAAGTATGCCTCAGTTTGTGTTACGCCACTGTGTATCATGTCAGTATGATAGCTTGAATTGAATTTAAAGTTGCCGGGTGTTGTTCACAGCGTCATGCAGACATAGCAAGTTTTGGCAACAACAAGGCAAAAACTAATTGGGAGGGAGTTTGAACAGTGAATTGAACAGTGATTTTTACTTCTGGAGTTTCTATATTGGGTTGTCAGCAAGGCCATAGGGTAGAACAATATAGGATATCTTGCACTGACCACCTATGATTTCTGTGATTTGACGATATATAAAACTGAAATTGGTTTAATTGGTCTACAAAAATATAATGAAGAAATATTTTGTACACGATGGACTATGTTATATTCTAAATCTGTTCAAACGTGTTTTATATACTAAAAGTATATTTGTACTTTTTTTTGAAGGTCGAGTAAACATTGTTGACTTACAACAGGTAACTTTTTAGTAATAAAAAACTATATGCTTCTTTCTTTTCTTCATGTATATTGTAAATACGGAGTTCATTAGTTATACTCCAGCTAAGTTATTTTTTTAAAAGAGAACAGACTTTAGGAAGAGCTGGTAGCTCATTTCAGAGTACTGCCGATTACTTAATCCATCCATTTACTGCTTTATTGAAAGCTCCTCTCTGCTTAATGATAATCTACGACCTCTGAAATCACCACTAAAATATACAGATTTTCTTTCTGAACTCTTCCTTTGTAAACTAAAGGGGGCAAACAGAAAAGAAATATGTTTCCCATTTAAATTTAAAGCTTCAGGAGCATGCATAATTAACTTTGCTTGCTTCTTTGGGTCTTCCCTCTTCCTTCATTAATCTCTTGTCTCCACTAATCTTTATCCTCTAGTAGTCTTCCCCTGTGACTAATTGGCTTGAGTAAAATTGCTTGGAATAAGAAAACCTTTCTGAAAGACGATTTGGTATTTTCTGTTCATAGCTTCATGGAATTTTTTATTATATAGGTTTCTTTTAACCTTGACACAGTTACAAAGAGAGTTTTTTCTGCCTAAAGCATTGCTGCTTTATTCCAAATCACAGATTAACTGTATAGATATGCAATAGTAGAAAAAGATAAAAGCAGCTTTCCTCAGGACATAGGAATGTGTAAGTATGATATCTCAATGTTTGAGAATTAATTTCAATTTAGAGTTCTGATAAGAGGTTTTGTTGTTTGGTGGTTTTTTAGGTAATAAATGTGGACCTTCTGCACATTGAAAACAGAGCTAACGACATCGTTAAATCAGAAAAAACTATTCAGCTTGTACTGGGACAGCTTATAAACCAGTGAGTACTTTCAGGAGCAACATGTATAATTCACATTTCTTTCTGTTTTTTTTTTTTTGTTGTTGTTAAATGCAGACTAAAAGTGATAGCCAACCTTTGTTGCTTCTGAAGTGAAATACATTTTTCTTGACTGCTACTGGAGCTGCTTGGTGATCAGTGCTTCCTTTCCAAATGGCAAGTGAGGCCTACCTCAGCAGAGCATCCAGTGAATCCATGGAGCAAAGGCCTCACTGAATGTCTCTGCGCAGTAACCTGCACTTAAGAGGCTTCATGTCTTAACCAGTGTCTTTGTATACAGCAGCCGGATCTCATTTGCAGTGTGGCTTTGCTGTCTGCCTCAGCTATTGACAAACCCTCTCATTTTTTCCCACCTCTTGCTATACCTCACAAGCCTAAAATGTATGAGCAAGTTATTTCATGGCATTCAGCATACTAAGAACCACTGAAGTAATACTCTTATGGGATTGTCTCTATTATTGATTGCGCTGCAGGATTTATTCTTGGCAAAGAATGTGAAGTTCCTGGCTCTCTTGAAATAATTAAGACCTATCTTGCTTACTAAAGCCCATTTCTAAGTCTCATTGACATATAATGTTTTCCTATTCCTGCTTTTTGACAGTTTGATACAAGCAGATCAATGGCCAATTTTAATACTAGGTACCTGGTGAGCAGGCTGTTAAAAAAAAAAAAAAACCCACGTTTTAACTGACAGCATTCTCCTTTATTCATTTAAAATAACTTTCACTTTATTTTTGCAAAGATGCAACCGAAACAGGTATAGTGCCAGGCCAGTTAATAATTCAGCATGTGGGTAACAGGTTGATCTTGAATTTCACACTTAATATGTTGGGATTTTTTTTCTTGTTTTTAAATAAGGAGTTATCTGGATCAGTTGGCAGAAGAAATAAATGATAAACTACAGGAAACTGGCCAGGTGACAATATCGGAACTCTGCAAGGCATACGACCTCCCAGGAGACTTCCTGATACAGGTGATGCAAGCCACCGACATAGCAAATGTAGAATTGATTGTGTTCGCCTTCTTTTGTCATCTTTGCAATATCTATGGCTTTAATTGTGATCAGCTGTTTGTCATTCTAAGCAGAAAAGTATTAGATACATGAAGGTTGCAATGAAACAGCTGTTCACAGATTGAGGTTGGTGTTTGCCTTTTCACTTTTGGGCAAAATTTATTCAGGATCTTTATGACTGTTAGGAACAGATTAGGATTAGGAATGTTAGGAACAGGTTAGATTAGTGGAAGATCTGAAAATGCCTTTGTTTGAAATATTAGCGAGAAGAGGTAGGGGTAATTGGGATGCCTCATCCCTGGAAGTGCTCAAGGCCAGGCTGGATGGAGCTCTGAGCAACCTGGTGTAGTGGAAGGTGTCCCTGTCCATGGCAGGGGGGTTGGAACTAGATCTTCAAGGTCCTTAACAACCCAAGCCATTCTGTGATACTATGATTCTAATTTTATCGGTCTTACTAGCTACCCAGGAAGCAGAAATACTATGGTAGAGACCTTTTGGTTTATTCAGAAAAGGTGAAATAAACATTTGTTTCTAGAAGCTGAAGCCAGACATTCAGAGTAGAACCAAAAAACTATTTACCTTTGTTAGTGGCTATTGTAGTGTTTAAAAGGATTAGGGAGCATTCTCTTACCATTGTTGACTGTCAGTCAAGGTTGGATTTCATTTGGAAGATACTTTTTTCAAAGGGTAATTGTATGGCATGTGTTGGGTGAGCAGTCATTTTCGGTACCACAGACAACCTTGTTGACTTTCAATTTATGAACAGATTTCCTCTAATATTTTTTGCATTATCAACTTCTACAAAAACATTTCTGAGATACGAACATTATTACATGGTTTCTCTTTGTTTCCTGGGCAGTATTTCCTGGGTTTAGTTCATTTTGCAAGGAATCATATTTATAATCTGTTTGTACCTCTTTCTTTTGTGTTTATTGTTGCTAATTTTTGTCTTGACTGTTTGAAAAAATGGATAGTGAATTCCTCTGCACTGTTTCATACAAAATGAATACAAAGGTTAAATCTTAGTTTTCACTGTACGTTTCCAAACCATACTTACTTCTTTTGCAAAGTTTTCTTTCGTCATTAGGTACACATATATCTGATAGAAGAGGCCATGTTGGGAAAGCTAAGTGGGAAGTTTGGACTGTGGACAATAATGGCATTAACTTACATGTCATAAGACACATTGTCAATATATCTAAATAATAATTTCTACTTGTCCTTATTTCTGAATATTTTGTCTGACTTAGCAAAACAAATTTGCTAATCTGTTAATACATAATTTTTTATTAATTTTTGTTTAACATCTTTAATATACATTTTTAGCAATCATCCCAGCTTCTATTTACAGGCATTATCCAGGCGTTTGGGTAGAATTATTCATGGACAGCTAGACCAGGAAAACCGTGGGGTGATTTTTACAGAAGCCTTTGTGTCCCGGCATCGAGCACGCATTCGTGGTCTCTTCACTGCAATTACTCGGTAAATTGTGACACCTGCAACCACATATTAAAATATTTTTACCATAGGTCTTTATGAACCAAATTCACTTGTGATTGAAAAAGAAAAGAAAATAAAGACCTATGGATAGATTTATTTAAGTGTAGTTCAGTTCCTGGGGTGAAATGTTGAGTTATATTAGATTCACTTTTTTGAAATGTGGACCTCCTTTTGAGAGGACAACAAGGAAAGTATAACAATATACCATATACAACATACTTAAGTTTTTTGGCTGAAGAAAATGTTAATCAGTAGTTCTTTTATTTCTTTGGAGAGTGTCTATCCTCATTGTCATTCAGCTGCTCCCCAGTCAGTTACATTTTGATGTTTACCCAGTACATTTGATTATAGAAAGTTTTTTCTTATTAAATCAATAGTTTTCTGTGTCAATTTCTATGAAGAGAAAAACTTGGGATAGCAAAAGTTTCCTTACAATAATTATCGTAGCTTTGTTATAAAATATAACTTCATAGTAACTCAAAATTAAAACCTTGTAAGCTATGTTAAACATCAGTGTAGCACCTGGAGCTAAGATACTACATAGTTTTGTCCATCTGGAGCAACCTCTTGTTTCTAGATTCTCCACATCAATTTCAGGTAATTAACTTTGTTGGTTTTTGTTTCCTTTTTCAAAGGCCTACACCAGTAAGTAACTTGATCACTCGGTATGGATTTCAAGAACATCTACTTTACTGTGAGTTTCAGACTTTCGTATTTTCGGTAGTTAGTTCATAGATTCTTCATTACTTGATGGATGCTTTCAAAGAAATGTTTTAGTATATAGCCTTAATTCTGGAGTAAAGAACAATATGTTTCTCTGTAGCGTAAACAGTGTTAAACCTTTTGTGCTATCCATAACTGAGGAGATATTCTCTGTATCTAAAACAATTAAATTGTTCGTTGATGAAATGCTGCTGGGGACAGAATGATGCAAGAAGTACAGTACTCCTTTTGTTGTTTCATTATTTGCCCTTAGCTACTGGCAGTTTTATAGAATCATAGAATAGTTTGCGTTGGAAGGGACCTTTTAAGGTCATCTAGTGTGACTTCCCCTGCAATGAGCAGGGACATCTTCAACCAGATCAGGTTGCTCAGAGCCTCATCCAACCTGACCTTGAATGTTTCCAGGGATGGTGCATCTATCACCTCTCTGCGCAACTTGTTCCAGTGTTTCACAACCTTCAGTTTAAAAAATTTCTTCCTTCTATCTAGTCTAAATCTGCCCTCCTTTAGTTTGAAACCATTACTCCTTGTCTTACCGCAACAGGCCCTGCTAAAAAGTTTGTCCCCATCTTTCTTATGAGCCCTCTTTAAGTACTGTAAGGCCACAATAAGGTTTCCCCAGAGCCTTCTCTTCTCCAAGCTGAACAGCCCCAACTCTCTCAGGCTGTCCTCATAGGAGAGGTGCTCCAACCCTCTGATCATTTTTGTGGCCCTCCTCTGGACCTGCCAGTGAAGCACACAAAAAGGGGACAGATTGTATGTAGCCAAATGGCAATAACTGCTCTGGATTTTATTTATTGATTTTCTCTGTGATAGCAGAGGCAGAGCTTTTGCTATGCTCTTAGTGTCTTTATATGCTGAGAGATAAAGCATATCCTTAAGTTGTTTGCTTTTATTTTCTGCATTTCCTTTTAAAAATAGGAATACATAAAAGATTTCCTATCCAACTGCTGAAACTTTCAGGCACTACTTAATTGTTTCTCACTTCTGATGTTGCAGCTTTTCTTTGGCTACCAGGAATCCCCTCCCATCTGTCCAAAATGCTGCTTCAAGCATCATTAGTCTTGTATGCTGACCAAGTTCTTCTGGCCTTCGGAATTCTTTAATGGTTTTCTGTCTCTTCTTATGAAAGTTAATATTTCTCTTTCGTCTGTTCTGGTCTTTTTGCCTTGAGGGCATTGCACACTTAAGCTCCACTATAATGTCTCTCTGCTTACCTTCTTGTTCTCTGACTAGCTTATTCATTAAAAATGAAAATCTTAGCATTTGAATAAAATCATATAAACACTCTCACATAATCAATTTAAGGTTTCCTCTTTTTTTGGATATGCCATCTAGGTATTCCTAGATTAAAAGGAAAATCTGCTAAACTGCATTCTGTTGCAGTACCCAACAAATCTCAGTATGCAGTTACAGTCTTTTTCAAACAGTTTCTGGAAGTACCTGATGTTATGTGTTAATGTTGTTATGTGTCAATGTGAATTGAAGTTCCAGTGTTTTCCTGTCACCAGTAATTGTCACGATGGCTAAGTGTTTTCTAATACTTCTTTTTCTTGTTTTTTTTAGTGAGTTCATCTTTTTCTTTAGTTTTTCTTTCTGTATTTCATTTTCTCTTCCGTTTCATGAGTTTCAAAGAGCTTTTTACTCACTGCCAGAGCACATTTGATTTTATTCTTTTCCTTTTCTGAGATACCATTTCAATTCCACAAATGCTGGAAACTTGAAAAATATCTTTTTAATTATATTACTTACACTATTTGCTTTTTATGTTTGTCATTATTAGCAATGTGGTTTAAAGTGTTTTTTGTCAGTTTTCTGTCTCTTCCAGAAAATATAAATGTAAGTTTGGTTTACTGTTTGTATAATTTACGAACAGCTAATTATTTAATCAACAGTTAGTGTTAGACAAGATAAACAATAGTCTTTGGTTCTGTCACATAGCTGTGCTGCTATTCGTATTAAGCTGACATGAATTTATGATAGAAAATAAACAGTTTCTCATTTCTAAAATTATTTAAGTTAAAGCACTAATTACAAGGCATAGTTAAAGCACAGATGTTCGTCATTTCTGAATATTGTGTTGCTGACATAGGACAGGCATGGAGGGATGCTTGTTGTCTTTGCCAGACTTTGACAGAGACCTAATAGGACGCTGCAAACTACTCAGTCACCTTTAAGAATACATGTGAGATTATAGTAGTTCAGCAAAGGTCCCTTTGTTTTGTTTTAAAACGAAAGACTATCTAGGCACAATTGTAGTAGGAGCTGTGAAATCTCCTGTGAAAGCACCTTCTCTGCCCTGGAGTTTTAGAACTGGCACTTAAAATAATACAAAATTTAATTAGCATCTTCATTTCTCCCCCTTTCTTTATAAAGACTGGTTTATTGATAGTGCTCCACAAAATGATTTGAAATACCTATAAAAGTCTTACTCTTTTTCCCAAAACCTTTGAATAAAACCCAGGTTGAGATTGCAAACTTTATTGTATGACACTTGTTTAAGTAGAATAGGCACATTGACTCTATTTTCTAGAGTAACTAAACTATTAGTAAGTATAAAAATGTAATTTCATTTTCAGAAACTGTCTTACAAGCTCCATTTTATACAAGGTAACTGAACCATGGCAGAACAGGATTTCTAGCTCTTAGATTATGTAAAACTGTCTTGGTTTAAATCAATTTCTCTTTCTTCTACATTTTTTCAGTGTAGTTACTGTTCAGCTTTGTTAGTGGCAGTCGTGTTCAATAGCTGCTAGCTTGTAGAGGTTTATCTACACTATGGGCATATCTAACAAAAAAAAAAATCATGGTTGAAATGTAGTGTTTCTTTTGGAACCAGTTTTTTGTGTGTAGGTGAGCTAAACCTCTGTATGCTGTACTAAGCATGTTGAAATATTGACTGCTACTCGTATTTAAATGAGGAAAGAGCCATACCATGTGATACCACTTCATGTTCTGTTCCAGAGTAAAATCTGTCTTTTAATGAAATAGAAGTCAACACGAACTGAAGGTAGAAAAAACATCTAGCAAAGCTCTAGAAATCAGAGCTTGGCAGTTGATGTCAATGATTTTTTTAATATATCCAGTGACTTATGAAAAGACAAAAGCAGAACATAGGAGACAAATCAGATATTCCTGTGCACCTTTAATGGATTGAAAACACCTTATTTAGCATTGACAAAGGCTTAGTACTTTGGTACTACCGGTTTGCAATATGTTCTTTGTCAGCAGTATTTGTGCATTATCAGGAGGTTATTATTGGCAACAGCAGTGTGGACATTGTAAACCATGAAGATGGTCACCAGTAGGAGGTGGTCACATTTATGCAGTTTAGGTAGCTTTTTTTCTTGTCATTTTGGTGTGTTCAGATCTCTCTTTTTTCTGTCTTGATTATCATGCAAGCAGTGAATTCTAAGAGAACATTATTAATAAAATGCTCATAATATTTTATTGTCTGGCCAGAGAAAAATTCTTTTATAACTACATTTTCTAAAATAAAAGCTCAAACTGTCTAGGTATATGTTCAATAAAAAGTGTTTTGATCCTGCCATTGTGACTTACTGTTTTGAAACATTGTATGATTGCCAGAGCTTTTATGAAGACATTCTCGTAAGTGTTAAAAATAATTGATAGAACTCGGAAACATTTTGCTAGAACAAGCACTTGTTGTTTGGGCTTCAGTTTCTTTCAATTAATAGTAAAAAGAAAAACAATTAATGGGTGGGGAAAAAAGAAGAAATAAAACGGGGAAAATAATGTCTATGTTTTGATTAATGGATATATGGAAGCAGAAAACGTCTCTTCATTTATTTTCTTCTTTATTTTCTTCTTGTAGCTGTGCTAGAAGAACTTGTTAACTCTGGTCGTCTAAAAGGCACTGTGGTTGGTGGGAGACAGGATAAGGCTGTGTTTGTTCCAGACATCTATGCCAGAACACAGAGCAACTGGGTGGATTCCTTTTTCAAGCAGAATGGTTACTTAGGTAGTTAATCTTTATTCTTGTAGATAAAATATCTTTCAAAAGCTAGTTTAGGTTATTGGTCCTATCCTAATATAGCTAGTGTCTAGAGTGAAGCCTCACAAGAATAAGTGGAAATCAATACAGTAGTTGATACTCCTGTGTTAAAAGACAGTCTTGCTTATAATGATGTATGTTACTTTATCACAAAGAACCATATTTCAGCAGAGGGAACCATACTGCTAAATAGTAACTTTATTTCTCTCACAAACAGAGTTACAAATGCTTACTTTTATTACTAGTCGGAAAACATTGCTTAGACTGCTCATTGAAGGCTTTTCAGATGACCGTGTTTGACCCACATAGTTAAGAGTTTCAGTGTAGGTGTCTGGACTGCAACCAAACTTTGACTGTTAATAGTCCAGATAGCAAAGCATGCAGTGCACGGGAGGAACCTTTTCCAAAATAAGATTTGTAAGAGTTTCAGTGTAGGTGTCTGGATTGCAACCAAACTTTGCTGTTAATAGTCCAGATAGCAAAGCACGCAGTGCACAGGAGGAACCTTTTCCAAAATAAGATTTGTAGAATTGGAGTGGGTAGCACTAGTGCCCTGATTTGAATCCAGACAAGTCTAACTTAAAGCTGAGTGATGTGGGACAATGGTGTTTGAAAACAGGAGCTATGGGAAAATGCGGACCTGAATAAACAGAGGAATGTACCCTTATGGTCCCAAAGGGCCAGTCCCTAAATAACAGTTAGTCTTACAGTTTGAAAAGGTTCAGCATAATTTACTGTAGTAGTATTAAGTGTTTCTGTAATATTGCTTGACTGATAGCATATCTGTCAAAGTCTTTGAATGTTTTCAGAACGTCTAAGTATAAACTGCCAAATAGTTGAAATGCTTTCCTTGTGAGGCATGAGTGCATTGGAGTAACTTTTGAAAACAAAACATTTTGACATTGTCTATATTGTAAATATTGTTCATATTACATTAGAATACTTTGGAAAGATAGAATTGCAAAGATAAACTTAATGGTATAAGAATCTGAAAAAAACATTTTTTTTTCCAAAACTCAGACCAAGTCATATACATTATTTAAGCTTCGTATTTCTATTAACTATGTTTAGGTGTAGCTTGTACTGAACGAAACTTTAGGTCAGCATCAGCTTGAGGCTGCATTTACTGGTATAAAGACTATATGTAATTCCTCCTTTCCTGCTTTCAAAAAAAAATTACCGTATAAGATCCTGTATGTACATGAAGGTACTTAAATGTGACAGACATCTAACTATTTTATAGAATTTGATGCGTTGTACAGACTTGGCATCCCTGACCCAGCAGGCTACATTAAGAAAAGGTACAAGTCCACACAACTCTTATTTCTGAGAGCAGCTTGTGTTGGTCAAGAAATTGTGGATCAAGTTGAAGCCTCTGTAGAGGAAGCCATCAGCTCTGGAAACTGGATAGATGTAGCAGTAAGCAATCCTTTCAGTTGTTGTTGGGTTTATTTATTTTGTCTTACTTTTGTGTCAAATGATAATTTATTGAAACTACACATATGTGCAATGAAAATGCCATGTTGTCAAAGAAGAGTATTCAGTTTAAGTAAAATAACAAGTGAAAAGACATTATTGGCTTTTAAGTTGGTCTGAACAAAAACGCAGGAAGGACATACCAGTATTCAGTTGATAGATACCTAAGACTAACACTGATTTCAAAATCGGTGCTAATGTGATCTGCTGGAGAGCAATATATTTCTGTGGGGTTTGGGGGGAAAAAAGTTAGAACTGAACTCTGATGACAGTTTCAGTGAGCAGAGGCATATTAGCCATTTTGTCCTGGCTAAATCCTAATTTTAGACCTTACAGCACTACTTTGTCTCTTGTAAGAAGACCTACTGTTGTTTTGTGTTTGGTGTTACTCTGTATCTGTTGAGCTGCATTTTGAAGATGTTGCCATGCGTTTTCCCAGAGGTAACACATAGTCTAGAGCAATGTTGATTTGTGATGTTAGAAGACATTTATAGTGTTTACTTAAAAAGTGCAGTATATTCTCAATAGTTAACAGATGTCAAATGGGGTGTCTGTGTATTCTGTTTGTCCACATACAAGTATGTCTGTTCATTCTAGAACAGATTATTATATGTAAATGATTTTGATTTTCTTTGTCTTAGACTCTTCTGCCCAGTTCATTGTCAGTAGAAGATGTTGGAATTTTGCTTCAGCAAGTGATGAGATCTTTAAGCAAAAATTCTTCAGGTTTGGTCTTCAGTGACACCATTGTGGTCAGTGAGAAATTTCTAAGCAGCTGTGCTGATCTGTTTTCTGATACGATGCAACAGAAAGCTGAAAAGGTATAGTTTTTTTTATTGGTCAATATATGTTGAGTGTTGAAGTATAGTTTATGTGACTTTCTATTTGCTGTTACCATCTCTTTACATTTAATCTGAAATACAGCTTGAGAAGAAGGGCAAAGGTGAAGAAAATGTTTGTATACATAATCAGTGTAATTTAATGTGTATTCAGTTGCACTCAAGGAACACCATCACACTAACAGTATGATCAGATGCTGAATTTTGAACAGAAGAATAAATGTCTCTATGTGTTGCACTTGGAAAGCATGGTGTTAGATTAGTATACTTAAAAATGACCAAATGGCTTAAATGTTTCCGTATGTATCTTTTGTTGCTGTGTGTATCTTTTTTGCTGTTAAGTGCATGTTCTTCATTTTAGGAAATGAAAAATAACCCTGTTAATTTAATCACCGAAGAAGATTTAAAACAGGCTTCTGGTTTAGAGAATTCATATGCTAATAAAAAAGACAAAAAGGATGAAAGACGAAAGAAAGCAACAGGTGAGGCATCAATATTTAGCCTAAGCAAAAAAAAAAAAAAAAAAAAAAAAAGAGAAACTATTAGCCTTGGAAGTAATCAAATGTAAAGTTACTGTGTTTTGTAGTCTATTATTTGCCTCCAGTCCATTGCTGAAGATATTTAAGAAATAATCCAACCACTTCTCATCATTACACTGTAGGTGTAGAGGTATCTGAGCTATGTCCGTGAGAACTAATTTCAGATTTAGAATTGCAGAGGAAGTACCAGAAAGATATCTTGAGTTAGTCCAACTCAAGGCAGCTGGCTTTAGAAGCAAGGAATCCATTTTTGTTTATCAGTGTATATGGTATGATCACATAAGATTGAGTTGTGCAGTGAGGACTGACCAAACCAGTAGGGGCGTTGGACTATATGACCTTTAAAAGTCCCTTTCAACCCAAACTATTCTATGATGCTGTGATTCAGTATTAGCTTGAGGACCTCTGCACCATTGTTTAATATAGATGCACTCTTCCTCTCCACTTTTCACGGACCCAGGAAAATGAATATATTTCTTAATAATCTTTAGAAGTTACTTCCAAAATTACTCTGACTAAATTGAGAAATGAGGTTTTAAAATGGGGGGTTTTTGAGAATATTGTACATCTTTTCTGGGAATCCCCTGCCAGACAATTTTCTCTTGTTTACTTTAACAGTTAAGAGTTGGAGGTTCACACAGTTTACTTTAAGGTATATTCTGGGTTAAATTAATCCCAAATCTTACTTCATTTCTGTGGTGGCTGTTTGGAATAGATCTTAATCTGAGGAAGAATAAAAATACGTAGGTTTAACCCTTTCAAATCTTTCTGGGTTTTAAAACATTATTCAGACGAAAGACTGTATTTTCAGTCCCCAAAAACTTTATTTGGCTCTTGTGTTGCCACAGCACAGCTGAGCAGTCTATGATGTACTCACATGCAGAGTTTTATGTGCTACTGAAAGTAACAGAATTAAAGCACTGATGCATCTAGCTTAATTGAATCTGAAAATTAAAACATTATATTCTACTCTTAAGAAGGCCATTACTGAGTTGACAAGGAACCTAAACTTATTCTCGCTATAAAAGAAAGCAGATTTTTCTAGGCCAGAGCTGAAGCAGAGAGACTTGAACTTTAATTGAACTGTCATAAATAGAATGACTTCAGTTTTGAGCCCTCTGAGGAGTGACACTGTACTGAGTGTGTACTACGTGTCTAGACACATTTATATCTGCAGGTAACATATGCTGCACCATCAGAAAGCACTACCCTGAAATGTTTTTTTTTTTTATGGACGGTTAGGCTTATTATCTTAAAACAATCAGCATGTCCGTTCAAGGATTAGATGTTGTCATTGTGTAATTGCGGAATGTGGCCAGTGTCACATTGCCTATCTTGAGGTCTGCACATGACTATATCAACATCTACTGTTTAAGTGTGTAGTGTTAACTACACTACTGTTTAAGTGGCGTAGTGTTAACGCAGTTCATTACAAATATGGATTCTCCCATGTATTGGATTAATGAAAATTTACAAGTTGTATTATCTATTTACAATACCATTTGCAACAGTCTGTTACAAAGAAGTATCTGTAGAAGCATGTACTCTTGTAATCCTTTGTGTAAGTTGCAGTCCGTGTATCCTGTTATCATAAAATATGTCTTTTCTGGCAGCAGTCTCTCCTCATTCATCTCTCTGTAGACAAGATCTTGACTGCAGATTGCAGCTTTTTCGATATGGCTATAAAGTGGAATACAGAATGAAGGGGGTTTGTTTCCAAAATAACTAGTGTATTGCACAGTTGACAAACAGCTTGTATCTGCTCAGCTGAATGCAGTCACATTTCAAATAAGCTTGTGAAAAACACTCAACTCTTTTTGCGTTTTTTTTTTGGAGAGGTCACAAACTCAGAAGGTCTCACAAGTACACCATCCACTGCTAGCTGCAAGTGAACTAGTCTGCTGTTCCTGCAAAGTAATGCTTAAAAATCCATCTATAGCACATAACAGATGCGGTTAGCTTTGTGAGTAGTAGTGTCTTGTCTTAGTGTTTCCTCTTCTTAAATGATGGTACCATCGCATAATGTAGTTACTTGAAATCTTCGACCCTATGTTTAAAATTGATAAATAACTACTTTCTCAAGACTTAATGCATGTATGGAACCAGTTATTCTGGAGTTTAAATTTCTTTCAAGTGAAAAAAAGAAGGGAACAAGCTGTGATAAAGGGAACAAACAGCAGAGCATCTTAACTTGTGGAAAGGGACTGTATCGCAAATTGAGATCCAGTCTGCAGTGTGAATACGTGGATTACGGGACGTATGAACTAAGTAATTTGCTACATTTGTCAGAACTGGAACATCTTGTTGCTTTATAGTCATCTAGGAATAGTCAAAAAAGAATTAGTCATAGTTAGTTGCACGCATGCTTCCAAGAATATTTTGGTTAAATGCTTACTACGTAAGATTTTTTTCTCTGAAAATTAACAAAGTTATATTATCTGGGGTATTTTTGAGTAGCTACGTTATTCAGCATCACTGAATAAAAATGCTAAATGCTTACTAAGGTGCTCTTTTCAGCCAACAGAAGTTCTCCCATTGCATTATGGACACAAGTATCTCATCTATTTTCAGCTGGAAAAAGATACTGCTTTTTATTTTTTTGAGTGATATGTACATTTGGTACGATTAGTATTTGTGTTTGTTAATAACATTAGCTTATACAAAGCTTTGACTCAGTTAAGCCTTTTTCTTAAGAATTAAAGTTAGGGCTCTAAGGTTCTGAAATATGTATTATAGTTTACATTTAGAGTCACGTTGTGTTTTTTTAATTCAGCATTAACAAGTAATGCAGATAAATTACCATGACATTGTAAACTTTATAAGTGCTTGAACTTCACTGTGTACTAAGCCAATAATTCTCCACCAGAGGGCAGTGGAAGCGTGAGAGGAGGAGGAGGTGGGAACGCTAGAGAGATCAAGATTAAGAAAACCAAGAAGAAAGGAAGAAAGGATGCTGATAGTGATGAAGAGTCGCAAGCAGCTAGCACAGGTTTGTCACTTTATTTTGGACACCATCTACTCCTACTGACATGTTTTTGTCACTTGCTTTTCCATATCTCTGTTTTTCCCCACTGTATTGGTAAGGTCAGGTAAAATATCAAAGCATTTGAGAATACTGTTCCATTAGAATGGTATTAACGGATATGATACTGCTCTCTAACTGAAATGGACATACCGTATTCACCGAATAGTATAACTTAGTCCTTATAAATAAATTTAAGTAAAGGAAAAGAGAGCGAGTGGTTTTGTTGTTTGATTTTTTTAAAAAAAAAATTGATTTTATGTGTGAAATGCCTTTGATGAATATTATACTTGGTTTCTTAACACCTGCTGAGTAGTGTATGATAAATGGAGAATTTCTCATCTAGTTCCAAAGCTTAATTAGCTTAAATTAACAAATCATAGCAAGGAAACAATATGTAGATGTTTTTCCTTACAAGGAAAAAATATACAGTCAAAATAAAGTTTTAATATTTTAAATAAGATTCATCATCCTTAATTGAGACTTCTACATATGAGCTAGCTACCTTTATAACTATTGACTTTGTAATGGAGGAAAGTGGGTACTTTGAAGGCCTACTCTGTCTCGCTTGTTTTAGGTGTGTATTACAGGCTGAGTTTGAATTGCTCTCTGTTGGTGTTGCTGTATTGTAATAAATAGATTGAACCAAAATCCCAAGATAAATTCAGATGTAACCATTCAAATATAAATAAGACCCTTGTAAAACCTGATTTAGTCTTCTTTTCCACCTGTTTTAGCCTTGTGTGTTCGCGGGAACTGTGGCACAACAAGGAACTTCACTGATTTCCATTCCTTCAGTTGTCTTATGTGCAGAATAAACTTGGTTTATGCTGCATCTGCAACATGGAATGCCTGTCCTTTTCTGGTTCCCTGTTATTGTCCTGATCTCATTCTTATGTGTAAAAACTAAATTCTGTGGCATGCAGACGAACTTCATATTTTGTCCAAAACCAAAATACAGATGCACTAATTTGTATGCATTTACAAGCAGCTTGTAAGTTGGTTTTATTACTGAAACTTCTTCTCTGGTTTAACATTGCTTTATCCGATCTCAAATTTTGTACTGTAACCTCAAATTTAGGATACTCTCTGTTGCATGATTGTGTACCTTACTAAATGGGTTAAAAAAGCCAACAACCTTGTGAAATCCTTCAAATAGGAATGCTCTGTTTGGCTTCGGCATTTTAAAAAAGCTGTATGGTCTCGGTGACATCACCGTTTCTAAACTAATGGATGAGCCAAGCAGTTTGAAATCTCTCACCAAAAATGTATGCCTTCCTATACTACTTAAGTTGTCTATTACAGAAAATAACTTCTAAGTGATCAAAAGAGAAATTTTGTCAGTTTTTCATATGTGTAAAATTTAACTTGTGTAGTCATCCCTTTTTTTGCATTGTTGGTAATGCGTTTCTTCCATGGAGGTTTGGACTTTGAGGCATTTCAATGTCTCATGCCACAAAGTAACTGCAACAAAACCAAGTATAATGTTTTCTCAGTGAATGTTGCTCACGGCCACTACAGGTAGGAACAAGCAGCCGGAGTTCCCTTTCATGTCACAAGAGGAAATTCAGGATGTTTTAAAGACTCACATGCAGGATTGCCCTGAAGAGCTTATTACAGAACTCGCTGAACATCTAATAAGGTAATTTCAGGAATTCCACTGGAATTAGAAAATCTGTGATTCGTTTCAGATTAATGTTCCCTTCAGTCTGTTTTCTTGCTTAGAAAAAAGCTAATGGAATTGAACCAGAATTCTTTTTCTATACAACTCCATGTTACATACTTCCTTAAGTATTAGAAAGCTGTGCTGACACCGTAATGAGAAATAATGCTTCTGTTTAGCAGTATGTGGGTTTGCGTCCTTTGCCAGCAAGCACATTTTCAGGTTCATGGGTGTATTCCCACCCCCTTACGCTGATCCACGTTGGGGTTTCACTGGTCCTGTCTTCTGTACAGCCCTTGGTGTATGTTCGTGTTCCGTGTCTTTTGTGGCCCCACTGGTACCTGTGTGAACTAAGTCAGCAAACTGATAGAAGCAAAGATGAGTAACTCTTTTAAAAGATGTTCTATACAAGCGAGAGAGTGTGAACATGTGTGTTCAGGGCAAAAAGTCCTTTACAGGACTGTAACAGCCCAAGCTTGAATAAACTTGGAGTGCAACGGTAACTGCATCTTTAGAAGGGCCTGCGGTATTTCAGTGCAACTTAAGTCTTGCCTTTTTACAGCTCCCATTGATCTGAAATTTGTCCACGCACCCCTGAAAGAGTTTGTGAATAGCGTTGTTTCTGGAAATCTTTTCTATCTTTCATCTTGTTCCCATTCAGGAGTTATTGTGAGTTAAAACCTTGGCAAGCATTTACGTACTGTAACCAATAGTACTTCTGCAATTACAAAAGTACATTTTAATTTCCTAGTTCTCTTTTTCTGATTTCAGTTATTTGCTTTCTATTTATCTCACCATTCTGTGGCATTCATGTCTCATTCATTTACTGTGTAATGAGGTAGCTTTCTATATCGCTGATATATTTGGAAAAACCTACAGTTTTACACTTTGCTTAATGTTCCCTTTTTCTCCTTTCTTATTCCCTGTTCTAAGACCTTTAACAAAAACGTACCAGGAAGTTGTGCGTTCTGTTTTTACATCTTCAACATCATCCTCTGGAGCTAGCAGAAGACAGACTATGAAGGACTTGCAGGAGGAATTCTCAAACTTGTACAACAACATTCGGTTATTTGAAAAGGGAACAAAGCATTTCACAGGTACAACAAGTATATACCTTAAAAAATGAATATGCCCCTTCAAGGATGTTGAATTTATTCCTGAATCTACATTCAAGGTCAAAGAAGAGCAACAGTTTCAAAAGGAAAAACTTAGAGATGTGCTTACCCTGCCTAACACTGACCTTTTGCCGGAGTGCCTCGCTTTGCACACTTAATGAAATACATTCTGTTTCATATCCGTAGTCTGTTATATCTTCTGTCAAGGTAATTGTGAGGTTTTGTCCTTCCTTCCAAAGTGTTTGCATCCATTCCTAGTTTTTATTGTCTGGGGGGGAAAAAAAAAGAATAAAAAAAGAATTAGTAAGCTTACTTCCTTCTGTTGAATAATGCTTGATTTGAAGAAGCGCCTGTTAAAACCTCTTTTAGGTTTGATACTGAAGGTAGCGGCTCCTTGAGGGCAGTTTTTTAAAAAGGTATAGATTTATTTTGCAGTGGGTTACTTTGTAAGGTGTCTTTTTTAGCTATCTCTATTTTGTGACAGAAAAGAAGTGTTAGGAAAATACTGAAGACATTTCCAACATTCACTATTGTATTTAGCTTTCTTTAGAACTTTCCCTGTGGAAAACTTATAACAAAATGAAACAGTAGCAACCCCCCCCAAATATCTGCATGTTTAGGAATAAAGGGAATTATATCCCATTAGCCTCTGCTCTTGTACATGTGTCCTGTAGCCTCTTTTTCTAAAGTTCTGCTGTTTCAGCCACTTATTTCTTTTAACAGATGATACTCAGACTAACCTTGCCAAACACCTGTTGAAGACTGTCTGTACGGACATTACAAATCTTATTTTCAACTTCCTGGCATCTGATTCAATGATGACAACAGAAAATTATTCTACAATCACAAGTGAGGTACACAGATAACTGTTCCTTTTTAACAGGCTCAAGTAGATCAGTGATGTTTATTTAATATTTAATTATCTTCTGTTTAAATATGCCTTCAGCTAAAATGGCAATTAATATTACAGATTATCTCCATTCTTGTCTCATACAGGTCCGAACCAAGATTTTAGGTAAATTGCCAGAAGACACCAAAGGTCCTTTAACTAAACTGCATACTTCTCTGAATGGCAAGGTAAAGTGATCCAGAATCTTTGAGTTCAGATTTTCTGTTCCACAGATACGATGCAAATAAACAGCTGACATACATAGTGTAGTACATAACTGCTGCTGCTGTGAAGGATGAAGGCAAAATAATCTTTTGAATTTGTGTAAGTCAGTGAGAGTAAGTACGTTTTCATATCTGTGAATTTTAAGAGGTGAAAAGGTGATCTTATATTTTGATACTGATGATCACCTAGCTCTTTGCTTCCAGGTGGAATCCAGTTTATCTTTTATGTGCAGGTGAGAAATGTAAAAGCTGAGAGAGAATCTGCAGTTTAAAATGGTTGATGTTTCTTATATTTTGTCCTGAAGTTCCTGACTGTTCTTCCATATATTTCTTAACTAGTAAAATCCTTGATATTTAAAAAGAAACCTTCAGATTATGGCAGTGTAAGTGTAAGAATTCTTTTATGCAAAAGGCCATACTGAACAAAGAAAAACAATTTATTAATTCTTTTATGCAAAAGGCCATACTGATACATGTCTTAAGGAAAAAAAAAAGTAAATAATTGTAGACCATGTATTCCTTTTATAATTTCATTTTTAAGACTAATGGGCAGTTTGTTTTAGTATTTAAGTATACGAACTGTTAGACGATGAATAAAGTTAATTTCTACTAATAATTTTTTAATAGAGCATAGAAGATTTTCTTTCATGCCTTGATTCTGCAGTGGATATTTGTGGTATTATGGTGAAAAAAGGAGACAAAAAGAAGGAAAGGTACCTTGATTTTGTTTATTCTATGCACAGTATGTGAAATGTAGCTCTGTTGCTGCGCAAATGTCAGATGGTTAGTTTGGTAGCAGTCACACAAAATGTGTAATTAAGAGGCAGTCTTTCTTTCCAAACTGTTTAACTGAAACGTACAAAGCCAAGCAGTCCTAATTCCACAGGAGAAGGAGGGGAGGGTTCCTATTTAGCTAATTTGCTTGACTGACTGCTTTCTACAACATACCAGTTTATAAATTTCTAGGGGACTTTTCAGAACCTGAGCTACACCAGTGCTAGCTTTTTTTTTTTAATGTGGAATTCACATAAAGAACGGGTCAGTCAGAGAAGAAAATTAAAATTAATCAAAGTTAGATATGTTTTAGAGCCTATTACCTACTAATAAGACAGAACAAGAAACATATTTTTGTATAATGTATTTCTGTTCCTTAGGCAAATCCTATTTCAGCATAGACAAGCTCTGATTGAACAGCTGAAAGTCACAGAAGATCCAGCTCTTGTTTTGCACCTGACATCAGTACTGTTATTTCAGTTTACAACCCACTGTATGCTTCATGCACCAGGAAGATCAGTACCACAGATCATTAATTTCCTAAGTGGCAAGATCCCAGAGGTATTCCTTTCTAGCTTTTTAAGGGGAAAGTGCTTTTCTTCTATGACAGAACATAAAAGTTGTGTCTTACACTATTTCTGCTGCATAAGACTGGCACCTTTGTGTTTCATGTCTAATCATTACTTTATGTACAGAATATACAGTTTCTCTGATCTGTACTGTATTTCAGACCTATCATTTCAGGGATCTGTCTTCATTTTTTTTTTTAATAAAAATAAAAATCAATTCATTATTGGTACTGTGGCTTTTGCCTTTATCTGTAGAGACAGCTATCTATTGGGGGATATTATAATTCTTATAACTGAATTTTTTTTACACTCTCTTTTCTCCCAGCTAAGCATAGTTGCTTTTTAAACTTTTCTAATTCAATTTTAAAGAAAGGTGTACGTCTTCAAAAATAAAAAAAACCCAAAAGTCTATATTCTAATCTGCCAAAACTGGTGGTGTTTACTAACTGTGTTGCTTTCCTGTGTCAGTGGTTAATTGTCCTGTTCTTGCAGTATGGATGCACTTTCATTTTTCTGCCTCTTTGAATGTCTCTCAGAATTTAGGTTGCAAAATACTCTGATGGAAATATATTTATGTATCACTAACCCTCTTTAGGCAGGAATGGGAGAATTCTTTTTTAAAAATCTAATCTTTAATTAAAAGTCCGTGTACCTTCTCCATGATACTGACATTCCTTTGTTTTTTTCTGTTTGTTTTTTTTTACCCTCAGGATCAGCATTCTCTGTTAGTCAAGTATCAGGGATTAGTAGTGAAACAATTGATCAATCAGACTAAGAAAACGGATCAGGGAGATGGTGACACAACAGATAACCTTGAAGAGGAGGAAGGAGCAGATACTATTCGAAAAGAGCTCCAGGAAATCACTACCTCTATCAAAGATCTTGTTCTCAGACCTAGGAAATCTTCTGTAACAGAGGAATAAAATTATTATTCAGTGCATCCTCATCCATGATACAGTCAGAATTTATTTCCTTTTATCCTGAAGGGAAGGATAGCAGAAAATGCTTGACAAACTTTAAAATTTGGCTTCTAACAATTGCAAATCACAGCCAGGGGACACAGTTGTTGGGTGATTGTGGCAAATGGAGTATTGTTATGTACTGCTGTAGCATACGTGTACCGCGCATTAAATGTAGATGTCACAGAGCACAGTTGTGGACACATTGGGTATGAAATTAGTGCTTTTCAATGGGCATCTTCATGTGAGGCCTCAAGAACTGGTTATTCTTTAAATAACTGTATTCTGTTCCATACACACATAGGGTTACGGTTTTACTTCTCTGATTTGGATTTATGGTGATGTAAGGATTGCATATAGCTGTATGTAAGCCTGTTTATCTTGATTTCAAAGAGTAGTTTTGAAACATACTGATACCTAATAGTATACCAGTGAAAGACCATTTTTACTTTTTGATATCATTAGTGGATGTTTTCAGCTTCTGTTCACTGGACCACAACAGTAAAAACCCTGAGTACAAGTGTGTATTGCTAAACTTAAGAGAAGCGACCCAGTACTAATGTGAGTTTCTAACTGTATTGAAAGCTTACGAAAATCATCACACTCATGCTATTAATGTATTCTGTTAATGTCCCTAATAGCAGTTCGTTTAAAACTTGCAGTTGGGACAGAGAAGGTGATGTCCTTTTGCCCTGGTATTTTGGGAGTGGATAAATACTGTTACGCCTGCTATGTTTTACATGCTATATGTTCATTCAGCAGACTTGTTGAGTTCTTAATCCGGTTCCCGTAGCAGTTAGAAGCACTTGCTTGCATTCTGTCAGCTCCTTGAGAAAATTTGTGGTATTCTGTTTATCCTGAGTTTCTTGAAAATAATTTAGTTTGTGATCTTTCTACATAAACTTTATAGACTGAAATATTAGCTGAAGTGTTTCGCTAAAGCTTTTTACTGGCCTTATTTTTAAATGAGCAGTACTTTATGTCTGCCACAAAGGGGAAAAATGGGTAAAATAGAGTTCTGCCACTGTTAATGACAAAATTCTTGTATGTCAAATACACTTCTAACTTATTTTTAAGAGAAGATAATTTTCAAACCAGAAATAGTTTAGTTGTATTAGTTCAAGAATGCCCATTGATTTCGTGTGGGTAATTTCAGGTTTTTGCATAAAGTCAAGTTTGAATAGTAAGACAAGAAATAGAGTTCTTTTCACGAAAAATGTCGTTCACCTGTTCTTGCCAAAATTCTTTGATGCTGAAAGAAAGCAGATTCTGTGCATGCCCTGCTCTGTTCAAATATTTCCGTTTTCCAACATTTCACATATTCTATAAGCTCAATCATAAATATATCCAAACCTGAAATTTCAACAAATGAAAGTTGAAGGGGCCAAGTATGGAAGCTCAGTAACAGATTAACCAAGGTTAAGTTAATTTTGGTAGGGGAAAAAAATGGAATTTCATACATATATAAAAGGCAGTAATGTTTAACAATGTTCACATCAATGCTCTTGTTTTACCAACTGTAAGGCAAAACAGTTTGCCAGTTGTAAGGCAGAAGGAAAGGTAGTTGTGTCTCATTCCTTGGCTGGAGGCTGTTACAGCTGACAATAAAGGACAGTGAGGAGTAAGAGATGAAAAATATTCAGGCTGTTTTGACTTTGTTTAAGAAACAGAGTTTGCATACAGGGAATAAGTTTGACTTCTTGTTATTTAGCCAGAATAATTATTAAGTTTCTATACTGAATGTAAACAATTTTATATGACAGTGAGCTATTTTGTAAATAATATGCCATATGACATTCTGTATGCAAATATGAAATTATTTTAATAACATTAAATGATGAAGTATTTAAAATGCATTCTGTTTACTTAACCAATGGTTGATCGTCATGCAACTTGGAGCTTTCCAACAGCAATTGGTAATATGCACCATGTGATTTAACATGCCATTCTGAGCGTCCCTGTATTTTTCTTTGATACTCTTTTATGCTGGAATAATAATGAACTTATAAAATTTACTCTATTATGTGTTAGCTTTGCTGTATTGTAGCTAATGGTATAAGCATGATAATAAAAAATACATTCTTCAAAGTAGATAGGAGGGAAGCACTAAAATTCAGAGATATTTTCTGGCTACAAACAGAATTCAAGAAGACATAGGTTGGAAAACCTTCCCAGATATATTTGTTGTCTCTTAGATGTGTAAAGTCAGTCTTTAGTTTATGAAGAAGTAGTATTTTGAAAGAGAAAGAAATGGAATATTCACAATTTCCTGAATATTTTGCTAATTCATGGGTTTTTTCCTCTCCCTAGGAGGAATGTATGCAGGAGGAAGAGAAATCTTATCTTAGAAATCAGACATTCAGTTCACAAAACAAAACTGCCCTTTGGAGTATCTACGAGAACAATACAAAGTGTACAAATTAACAGTTTTACTTTGGTTTTAAGTATTTAGTGTCAGCCTCTTGTGCCCTTCATCTATGGTATTTAAAAAACTCCATCATATTTTTATAGACGCATAAAGCTGATGTGTGTATATGCACAAATATTTATAACTGTGTATCTCATAGCCTCTTTTTCTCCTACTGTCAGCAAATTGGAATGTGTGCATTAGCCGTATGTACATAGGCTCAGCAACAGCCTTTCCCTTCTTTTAAGTGGCAAAATGTGACTTTTGTAGCTGGTTATTGGCAGGTCTGCTGGAAATAAGCAAACTGTTGCTCTGTTAGAACTTGTAGCCTTCTTTCCAATTCTCTTGTTTTGCAGCATCTTAAAAAAACCCTAATAATCGGCACAAGTTTCTAAGTGATAGCACTGGGATTTGTTGTCTGTGTGAATCCATCTTACAGCTTGTTCAGATAAAACTACAGTACTTCTGTTCTCTGTGTAGGCTCATGAGTAGGCTCCTGATGTAGTAGTGACTCCTTGAACTATTTTTTTTTTTAATAAGTAACAGTTACATTTTCTGTAGGCCAGGAAAATGGAAATTTCTGCAAAACTGGGTAGATTTTGTTGGGTTGGTTTTTTGGTTTTTTTTTTTAAGTAGGAATTTTAGTACTCTTGCAGAAGCCACAAGAGTGACTGTACTGGGTCAAATCAAAGGTCTCTGTAGCCCAATGTTGTGTCTCCAGCAAGGGCCAGAAGTGGATGCCTAGGGAGGAATAGAAGAACAAGGCATGTAGAGATTTTTCCCTTGAGTGTTTTTTGAGCCTCCAAATATGTGCTACTTAAACTTTTTGAACGATGATTGTACTTTAAACATAGAAAACGGCAATTATCCGAAGCTTTTGGATAAACAGGATACTTGTGAGAGCAGAATTCCTTTCTCTGCTGAGCCAAATAACAGAACATATTCAGTAAATGCCAAAGATGTTTTCTCAGGAAAACAACAAATAAATTCATTAATTAATTTTGTTAAGGAACGACATCTTTTTTTAAAAAATTACCAAAAAAAAATTAATTAAGTAGGAAGAGTGGCTTAAGAAGTTTAAAGAGAAACACCATTTGGTTGATGAATTTCCCAAATCCTCAATGTGAAGAGGAAGCTAGGTCAAGACAGGTCATGTCTAGGGACAGAAGGGAGAGATGAAATAAGCTGCTTTCTATTTCAGGAAGTTCAGGAAGAAGGAAGAGATGTGGGAGCCGTATGAGACATCATCGAACTGATACTCAGAAGCAGCAGCAGAGTTTTTGTTGTTCTTTTCAGTTGTACTCAACTTGTACCTCTTGGCAAAAACTCTGACTCTGTTCAAGGTGCTTCTCTGCTTATGTCTTCTACCAACATAGTTATGATCTCTACCTACAGTTATATGAATTTAAGGATAATCTTTGGAGTTTAAGGAAGGTGATATGCTAGAGGAGGTGTCTGTACTACTCATCCTTTCTGGAAAGAATGTGTTGTGTTGGACTATTTCTAATCGTCATTAGGCTCTTTTGACAGATCTGTTTGGATAATGCTTTTGCTCTGTGTCGTAATCTTCAAAAGGTCCTTGGTCAAGAATTGTACATTCATTTTTTTCTTTTTGGAAGTAAAGGCAAGAAGAAGCTACTCATGATTCTCATTCTGGTCTCAAATTCAGACCTAACTCATGCTCTCCTCAATCTGAAAAAAAATTGCAAGCTTGAAAAATCAGCATAGAAGTGCTTGGTATAAATAAAGCATATAACAGTATGAGGAAAGAATTCAAAGAATTCAATCTAGTTCAAGTCAATGATAAAATAAGTGTCTACAAAGGTTTAATAAACCAGGCAGCTACAACTTGAGATGATGAATTCTTGGCAATAATAATCAAGTGATCAGTCTGATGCAGTATCTTTCAAGATACTACCTAGACACAGATAACCTCTGGGACATGTTGTCTAGATTTGGCATTTTTACCGAAGCCTTCAGATAACATAATACATCTTTAAAACATTGAAAAGTTTCCTTCTTTCTTCTGTCTGTGATATAAAGCAGTTCCCACCCACTTGACGTTATAGACTCAATGATTCAGATCTATTGGCTCTTGGTTGTGGAAAAGTCTGCCTGGAGGTCAGTTGGGGTTCATACCACAAGCAGCCATCCTTTTTTTCACTCTGCTTAACTTCAGACTGCATTTTTAAATGGACACGGTATCCTTGCTTTCAGCTGCAATTGATTAAAGGTCTGCCTGGAGTCTTACGCGAAGTATAAGCACTTCTGTGTGCTCCGTGCATGCAGTAGACTGTCTGTGAAGGTTAGCTGGCCCCTGTTCTGTCCAAGCAAAAAGTAAAAGAGGTGACTGCAATTCAAAAGAAGACCAGAACGGAGAAATACTGAGAGAGAATCATAGAACAGTTTGGGTCAGAAGGGACCTTGGTCATCTAGTCCAACCACCAAACTAGAACCTAGAGGAGGCCATTGCTGCCACTCTGATGGTAACACCATATGAATGTCCTGGAAGACCATTAATTTGTTCCAGCCCAGAACCTGCTTTAGTAGTGTCAGAGGAGTTCTGCTGCATCCCCAAAAGTCTCTTCTGAAATTGAGAGAGCATTTCTCCCTGCCCCCCATTTCCGGTATACAACAGTCAGACTTTAGTAATCATGACTCTTATATTTCTTTTCTGATTTGGAAGCCCACATGAGGTCTTTTGGATTCATTATGCATGGACCAAAATGTATCTGGGAATGAATGATGATCCATCTTTTATTTTTCCTTTTCCTTTTATTTTTTTTTTCCTTTTGTTCTTGTACTAAACAGTTTGGGGCTTTGCGGGGTTTTGATTCTTTAGTTTTTTAACAGGAGTGCC